TTACCCCTTTTATTTATTTTTGTCCTCCTTTACTGGCTAAGATTACCAGTAAAATATAGGAAAATGGGAAAAACAGATATCCTTGCCTTAGTTCTGATCTTAGGGAGAAATAATTCAATATTTCATCATTAAATATGATTTAAGCTATAGATTTTTCAAGAATGACCTTTATCAGATGTGAGGGAAATATTTCTTTTCTAGTTTACTGAGAGTTTCTATTGTGAATGGATGATGAATATTGTTAAATGTTTTTTTGTACTCATTGAAATAATATTCTGTTAATATACTGAATTGCATTGTTTGATTTTCAAATGTTTAATAAACTTTGCATTCTTGGGATAAAGCACACTTAGGCATGATATAGTAGCTATTTTATTGCTGCATTTCACTTGATAATATTTTGTTAAATTTTTTCATCTATGTTCATGAGAAATATAGATCCACAATTCTTTTTAAATTGTCTTTGTCAGTTTTTAGATGAGAGTAATCCTTTTCTCATAAAATGGAATGAAATGTGTTACCTCTTATTTTTTTGAAAGAATTTATAAAAGACTGTTATTTTTCCTTATTTATTAGAATTCACTAAGAAAACTATATGGCCCTGGAATTGGGTTTTTTTGTTTGTTTTTTGTGGGGTTTTTTTGGGGGGAGGAGTGTTTAATTAGGAATTCAATTTCTTTAATTGATACAGGACTATTTGGATTTCCTATTTTTTATTCAGTTGGTTTTATAGGTTATGTCTTTTAAGAATTCTGCTGATTTTATCTAAATTAGTTAATGCTTTGACATAAGGTTGTTCATAATATTTCCTTATTATCTTTTTAATATTTTTAGTATCTCTAATGATCTTCTTCTTCTCTATTATTCATAGATTTTTCTCTTTCAATGATTTATGCTCTTTATTGTTTCCTTCCCTTTATTTACTTAGGGTTTAATTTGCTTTTTTTTAGTTTATTAGGGTAGAAATTTAGATCACAGATTTTAAACCCATCTCCTTTTCTAATATAATCTTTTAAAGATATAAATTTCTCATTAGCCACTGCTTCATTTGCATATCACAAATATTGATATGCAGTCTTTTTTTTGTTTTGTTTTAAGGACTTTATATTTTGATCAGTTAAAGGTCATAACATAGCTGAGAGGAAGGTACAGAGATTTCCCATAAACCCTCTGTTCCAATACATGTATAGCCTCCTCCATTGTTATTACTCACCAGAATGGTGAATCTGTTACCAAGGATGAACCTACACTGACTTGTCATCATATCTGTAAGTCCACAGTTTACTTTAGGGTTAACTCTTGGTAGTGTATATGCAATGGGTTTGGACAATGTATAATGACATATATCTTTTATTATAAGATCATACAGAATATGTTCACTGTCCTAAAAATTTTCTGTACTCCTATTTATCCCTCCCTCATCTCTACACCAGCAAGATAGTTTTGTTTTTCTAGAATATCATATAATTGGAATCATAGTGTACATATGGCTTTTCAGATTGTCTATTCACTTAGTAATATGCAGTGAAGATTCCTTCATGTCTTTTCATGGCTGGAAAGCTTGTTTCCTTTTAACACTGAATAAGGCCCATTGACTCTCTATATTAGAATTTATCCATTCACCTAGTGAAGAACATCTTGGTTGCTTCCGAGTTTTGGCAATTATGAATGAAGCTACTCTACACATCTGTGTGCAGGTTTTTGTGTGGACATATATTTTCAACTCCTTTACATAAATATCAAGGAGCGTGACTGCTGGATCATATGGTAAGAGTATGTTTAGTTTTATAAGCAACTGCCAAACTGTCTTCCAAAGTGAGTATACCATTTTGCATTCCCACCAGCAATGTATGGGAGTTCCTCTTGCTCCATATCCTTGCCAGAATTTGATGTTGTCAGTATTCCAGACTTTGGCCATTCTAGTAAATAGTGAAGTGTTATCTTATTGTTTTGACTTGCATTTCCTTGATAACGTGGTGTGGACTATCTTTTTATATGCTTATTTGCCATCTATATATCTTCTTTGGTGAGGTGTTTGTTGAAGTGTTTGTCCCTTTTTTAAGCAGGTTGTTTTTCTCTTATTGTTGAGTTTTAAGAGTTCTTCATATATTTTGGATAACAGTCCTTTATCAGATGTGTCTGTTGCAGATATTATCTTCCAGTCTGTGGTTTGTCTTTGAATGCTCTTGACATTGACTTTTGAAGAGAAGTTTTTAATTTTAATGAAGCTCAGCTTGCCAGTATTTATTTTTCATGGATTCTATCTTTGGTGTTGTATTCAAAACTTATAACTTTGCATTTTATATGTTGGTCTATGATCAGTTTTGAATTAGTTTTTGTGAAGGGTATAGGGTCTGTGTCTAGACTTATTTTTTGTGTGTTTGTGGATGTCTAGTTTTTCCAGCACCATTTTTTAGAGAAACTGCATTTGCTCCACTGTATTGTCTTTGCTACTTTGTCAAAGATCAGTTGACTACATGTGGGGTGATTTGATGTGTTTTCATTAGTATTTTGTCCTAAGCATTTTCTAAATTCATTGGTGATTTCTTCTTTGACTCATAGGTTACTTAGAATTGTGGTGTTTAATTTTCAAGTATTAATGATTATTTCATGTATTTTACTACCAGTGCTTTCTAATTTAATTAATTATGGCCAGATACTATACTCTGTAAGGTTTAATTTAAAATCTAATGATACTTATTTTATGCCCAACCTGACAGTCATCCTGGTAGACATTCCATGTGCACTTGAAAATAATGTGTATTCTATAATTATTGGGTATTAGTATACTATAACTGTCAACTACAGCATGTTGGTGACAGTGTCTACTTTTGCAATTGGTTATTGGGGAAGGAATGTTGTAAAAGCTCCAAGTATGACCATGGACTGCTAGTCAGTTTCTTCACTTAATTCTGTTAGTTTTTGCTTTATATATTTTGAAGCTCGGGCTAGTAGGTACATGCACATCTAGGGTTGTGAGGAGTTTATCATTTCTTTCATTTTCTTAATTCATCTCTTTGTATCTGATAATACTCTTCATTTTGAAGACCATTTTGTGATATTATAATAGCCCAAACATTTATCTTATGTTTATTATTTACATGTTACATTGTTTTCCATTCTTTACTCTGAACCTAGCTGTGCCTTATCACTGCTCAAGTTCCCAGAAAGCAGACTCTAACATGCAGATTTATGTGCCAGGAATTTATTGGAGTGTGCTTTCAGTGGTAATATTTTTGGTGGAATGATGGAAGCATGATTAGACTGAGAGATTTTGATCGTCAATGCAACTGCAACAAAGGTCTCAGCTGATCTTATGGTGGCTCTAGATTCAAGTGACTTTCATGGTGAGGGTAATACCTTTATACCCCTTCATGGTCAGTCAGTAGATGAGGGCTAACCCCAGAAAGGGTGTGATTTAGGTCAAAATGACTCTTTATTTGAGGGCAAGTCTTGGAGAGGAATTTAGTTGAGAACTGTCAGTTGGTAACACTACCAGCAGCTATAAGAATGAATTCTTCTGGGCAATATACCATAGTATCACAGTGTGTCTGTATTTAAAATACTTCTCTTGTAAAAATTTAAAGAAAAAAAAAACTTCTCTTGTAGATCCTTAATAGTTGGGCTGTGGTTGTTTAATCCAATCTGACAATCTTTGGCTCTTCATTAGGGTGTTTAGTCCATTGATATTTAGCATAATCATTGATATGGTTAGGTTTGAGTGTGCTATCTTGCTACGTGTTTTCTATTTTTCACATATGTTCTTTTTTCCTTTCTCTTTTCCTGGTCTTTGGGGTTAATCAAATTTTTGAAATATTTTATTTTAATTTTTCCATTGAATTTTTGTTATATATATATATCTGTTAATATTTTTTCTTATTAATATTTAATGTTAGGTGTTACTTGATGTATCCTAAATGTCTTTTCCAAGTATATCATAACACCTCATGTCAAATGAAAGAACCTTAAAAGAATATAATTTTGTCCCACTCTCTTTGTGCTACTGACATATATTTTACTCCTATACCATATTATAGATCACTTTTTATTTTGGCTTCAGTTGGCTGTCTTTCATGAATTAAAAGAAAAACAAAAGATAACCTTTGTATTTATCTATGCATTTACATTTCTGTCACTCTTCATTCCTCCCTATAGCTCTGGGTTTTTATCTGGTATCCTTCCTTTGACCAGAAGGTCTTCCTTCAGTATTTTTACAGGGTAGCTTGTTGGTGATAAGCTCTCTTGATTTCTGTTGATCTCCTGTGTTTCTCTTCTTTCACTGAAGCATGTATGCCTTCTTTGGACTACTGTGAAATCCTGCTTTTTTTTAGTTTCTGTTTCCAAAGAGCGTCAGCCTTTCAAGAGTCTCGGTTTTATTTAGGGGCTCAATTCCAGCACATTCCCTGAAACAGACTTAAGTCAACCCGTCTATTCCTAAGTAGATATTAAAGGTGTAACAACTCTAGCCCTCAGTCCTTCAGCTCAGTTTTCAGCCCTGGATCCACAAGGTCAGCTAGAAGTTTCTGTTCTGACTTTGAGTTTATACTTTATTTCTAGTTATTGATTTCTTTGTCACTGGTAGCTGAATACATCACATTTTAGGAGTTGAATATTTCCAACATTTCTACATGTTTATAACTGAGATGGTCAGTGTAGGAGGGAAGGTATCCCTATCAACTTAAACTGCTAAGATGACAGAATCTTTCTTCTGTACTTTATTATACAGAATAGTTGTAGGATTACAAATAAATTATGAGGCTAGACTACCATGGAAGCTTTTTTTTATTATTTTATTATTTTAAATAAAATATAAATTTTATTATTTATTTACTAATTTTTAATGGACTGTCATGTTCACCTGGTTAACAAAGAAGTCTTAGCTATTAGTCTCAGTTCTTATTGTGAGATCACATGTGTGCTCAGTAGAATAATACATATAGTTTATTAAGCAGTCATTGCTGAGATTTCAGCTTTTGCTCTGCTGCTTCCTGCTCTAACAGGTCTATGGAAATGCAGGACCTCGCAAGTCCTCATCCTCTTGTTGGAAGTGGTGATACTCCTGGTAGCTCCAAACTGGAGAAGGCTAATCTCAGCAGCACATCTGTCACCACAAATGGAACAGGAGGTAAGTATACCACCCCAGAGACACCCAGAAACACATTTCGATGTTTGCTATAATTTCACATGCTAGGAATCTGCTAATAAATAAATCCTTATCAGGAATAACATAATCAGCATTATATCCAGGGAATATATGGCTAATAGACTGTCTGTTATTCTGTTGATTTTCTTGAAACTTTTGCAACTCCTCTATAGCTGGAAAAATTCAGAAAGAATAGATATCCCTGAACAACATTTTGAAGGCTTTTAGCAAAGCTCCCTTTTTGTATTTGCCCTTGTAAGTATTCCAAAAAAAATGTAGACAATGTGGCCAAAAAGATTTGCACTCTGATCTTGTGAGAGAAAGAGAGAGAGAGAGAGACAGAGACAGAGAGAAAAGAAATGATACTAGTGTACTAGTTTTTGGTTTTATTTTGAATTGCAGGAGAAAGGCTATCCCAAATTTTTCTTTTTTTTCTTAAAAGAGGTTTGAGAATAGAAAAATATTTATGTCTGCTGCACTTTCTTTTCAAAGAGATTAATACCTGATGTATTTAAATTGGGAATTAAATTTTTTTCAGATACTTTCTCATTTGATCAGCCTATAATTATGCCACAGCATGTGGTAATAATAACAGTTATTTCAGATATTCTGCCCTACTAATTTTATAAAATGCATTCAGCCATCAAAATATATGGTCAATTTTTACATCAGAATATGTTTAGATGTCAAATATATACACATTATGTGTAAGCTACTTTTTAAGTTATTCTCCATCATTTTGAAGTTTTATAGATCTGTTTTAGTCAAGAAGAGAAAAATTATATGAAATTAGTTTTAATTTATAAACTAATTATATTATTAGATAACAGCATTTGCCACATCATATTTTCTTTTAAATTTTCAGTATTTATGAAATTGATACACCTCTTCCCATTTAATTTAAAATAACTGTGCAGTCTAAATTTTTTTTTGTAAAGTTGTGTGCATTGCAATTTGCCTGTATTTAATAATGTTTTACACCAAACCCATTGTAGATTAACATTTCCTTGTTTATAATGTTTATTTGTCTCTAAACTTGCATCTATAATTTTAGCTAATTAATTATAGGATTGCAAATTTATAAGATTGTTTAGTGATGATTTCTGGTGTAAGAACATTTATATTTAAACCTTAACTTGGATACATATAATAAGATTTTTAAAAACTCTGGAATCAAACCTTGGAGTTCACTAATCATCATGTGTATGTATTTAACTGAACTAAAACAGACCTGATAAAGTGTAAAAGTCATACAGTGCAGTTACGATTTTGGCTAAAAGGTCAGGAACCAGTACAAGCATTGAAGACTATTCATGTACACTGAGCAGGCATTCGGACAATGAACCCTTATACTGTTCCTGTTCTCAGGGGACAACATGACTGTTTTAAACACTGCAGACTGGTTGCTGAGTTGCAACACCCCCTCTTCTGCAACAAGTATGAGAGATGATGGTACACTGCATGTGTTTGGGTGTGTGTTATTGCCCTTCTGGTTTGCTTTCTGTTGCTATTTCTGTTTGCACTTCCTTTTCTGTGTTAAGTACTTGTAAAGAAAAAGGAGAAATAAACATGACTTTTTGTTGTTTATAGATAACAGTTGACTATGTTTTTTTCTTACCAACCACTATTCTAATCTGAGATTCCTTAGACCAGTACTGTTTTTTCTTACAGTTTTTTTTATAATGTCACACCAACAGATGCAGCTATTGTTTTTCTAACTACATATCATCTAAGTGGCTAACTCAGCACAGCAGTCCTATCAATAAGAGCAGGTGAAGCAGATTGTACATACATACAAACTCAGTCATCTCCATAACCTACAGACTGTCTTAATTTAAATTCTTAACATGGCAAAAAGATATCCGTGATTTTACGGACTTCAATAAATAATCAGTTAAAGTGCCTAAAGTATAACATAAACATTTAAAATTCCATCATTTAAAGAATTATCAGTGTGAAAGCTATACATTTAAAATTATAAATCAGTATTTACCCTTAAAATAGTTTGAACTATAATTACTACATTTATGTACACAAAATATATAAAAGTATAAACAAACTTTCTTTTTTTTTAAAGAGTTATTTATTTATTAGAGAGAGAGTGAGTGTGGGGAGGGGCAAAAGGAGAGGGAGAGAAAGAATCCTCAAGAAGACTCCCCATTAAGCATGGAGCCAGATGTGGGACTCAATCCCAGAACCCTGAGATCGTGACCTGGGCCGAAACCAAAAGCCAGACACTCAACCAAATGAGCCACCCAGGTGCCTCATAAATTTTTTTTTCTAAATCAAAAGTTAATATACTATCAAAATCAAAAAATAAAAGCAAAACTATAACACTAACATGAAATCACCCAATTTTAAGATTAAAAAGAAGACCTCCCTACCTGTTGGAAATGTGCATTATAAGAGAGCAGTTAGGATAGGCAGTTTGGCTGGATCTTGCTGTATCTAATTAAATTAAAGTATATGGCCAGTGCATGAAGAACACTCCATTATACCCATTATTTATGTTTTTCTATAATTTTAGCTCAAAATGTTTTTCAATTCCACACTTAAAATATACATTTTATACTTAAAATATGTTGCAAGAATTCAGTTTCTCTTAATTCTAACTCAGGGTCTTTTTCTATAAAGGGCCAGATAGTAAATATTTTAGCCTTTATAGAGCATACCATGTCTGTCTCATCTACTCAGCTATGTCACCAATAACTCAAAAACAGGCATAGGCAATGCATAAATGGATGAGATTCATCAGGTTCCAATAAAACCTCATTTATGGATCCTAGTATTTAAATTTCATAGTCATCACATCATAAAATATTCTAGTTTTTTTAATATTTAATTTGTAAAAAACATTTTTAGCTCACTGGCTATTGTTCTGTTCTCAGATATTCATGTAACATGGGCAACTTTACATATGTACAATCAATATTTAGTAATTTAGATCTAATCTCAACCAGAAACATTTTTCTAAATGTTAAGCCTCAGATTTTCCTAATTCTTAATGTTAATAGTCACATGGCCATGTGGGAAGAACAAGGAATTGTGTGTCAGAAGGAACACACTCGCTGGGTCACCTTGGACAAGTTACTTAACCTCTCTGAGCTTTAATCTCTTTCTATAAAAGGAGGATAATAATATTTCCCTGCCAAAGCTTTTGTCTTAAATTAGATAGGAATACAAATTGTTTGCCAGTAAAAAACAGTATATTTCCCTTTCTTTAATTAATAATTCAGTAATAACTAGGCAATAGTTTTTAAGGAAAATGAAAACATGCATTATGTTAAAAGACTCTCCAATGTTTGGTCATATAATATATTTTTTGGCATTTAGAATGTGTAAACTGGCCAAAGAAGGCAAGCTTTTAGTAATAAAATGTTGGGTATACTTTGATTATTAACGATGTAGTCTTGATGGCATATTGATATGAAATTTATGAATTTATGAATTTTAATGACTTTGGGGTGTTTATTGTATGGGTGTATGTTGGGTGTTTATAGTATAGACTTAAGGATTTGGTGCATATCTCTCCCATTGACAGTAAACCGTTTTATTTATTTATTTTTTAAAGATTTTATTTATTTATTTATTTATTTATTTGACAGAAAGAGACACAGTGAGAGAGAGAACACAAGCAGGGGGAGTGGGAGAGGGAGAAGCAGGCTTCCTGCAGAGCAGGGAGCCTGATGTGTGGCTGGATCCCAGGACCCTGGGATCATGACCTGAGCCAAAGGCAGACACCTAACGAATGAGCCACCCAGATGCCCCTAAACTGTTTTATTTTTAATATTGGGTTTTATTGTGGGAATTGGATCACTTTATAAGATTATTATAAAAAAAGGAAAAAGCAAAAGCTAATTTAGTGGCTTTTGAAAATCTTTCCATTAACTTTGAGATTTTCAGAAGGACTTTAATTATATAGTTTTTACTAATATGAATAAGTTGATAGTGTCACCTTAATATCCTACCATACTACATCGGTACCCTTTAAATATATTACATTATTCCTTGAATTGATTTAAAGTGTTTCAGTACCTTAGTCCTAATTATATAATTACATCTGCAGATTTATATTGGAAACTAATTTTCCTTTCAAATTTTTGTTGCTTGTAAAATTGTTAAAATGTAGAACTGTCAATAAAAGTGGAATAAATGCAATCATACCCTAGCATATAGACCCTGTAAAGGGTCAGATAGTAAATATTTTCAGCTTTGCAGATTATGTGGTCTCTGTTTTAGCTATCCAGCTCTGTTGTTGTTCCACAAAAGCAGCCGCAGACAATGACCTTGGCTGTGTTCAAATAAAACTTGATCTGTGAACACTGAAATTTGAATTAAAGAAAATTTTCACATCGCTTCTCGGCCTTTTGGCTAAGATCAAGTGTAGAAAATTTTCACGTCACAAATATTTGTCTTTTGATATTCTTCAACTATCAAAAAATTTAGAAGCCATTCATAACTCACAGGCTATACAGAAACAGGCCATGGGGAAGATCTGGCATGTAGGATATAGTTTGCTGACCCCCGATATAAAGCTCTCTGTATGCTCTGTATACGTCATGTATATGCATATTTATTCACGTAAATGCATGCCAATCATATGAAAAGTTACTTACAGAAATAGGTAAGATTTTTATTTGCTTAATGGTGTCAAGATTCATGATTAGTTGTACTTTACAGAAAGACGTCTGTTGGAATTGCTTAGGATAGGATCTAAAAGTAGATTTTCATTTTCTCAATTAAAATGTATCAAGTTCCTGTTATATGCCAGGCTCTGTGCTAGGAAATAGGAACCCAGTGACCTATAGAATATGATACTGGCCATCAAGGGACCAGAAGTCCAGCAGAGGGAAACAGACAAGAAAGTAATGAGTGCATAATGTGTTCAAGGTGGGTGCATAGCAGAGGGAAGGAATATTTGATTCTACATGGAGATTAAGAAAATGCTTTAAAGAGAAGGTTTGAGGGAACCTAAATCAGACATTCTGATCAGATTTGTAACATTTTCTATATTTAAAATCTATATATCATAGAAAAGAATCTTCCAGAATTCTTATTATATTTATTATACAGATGATTGACTTATGCAAGGGGTTTATTTCCAAATGTTATGTGTTTGTGAAGTAGAACCACCTACTATCGTGGCTCTATTTCTTTTTAGATTTCTTTTTAATGAAAACCATAAATTGCTTTATCAAATTATTTTATGAAATTACTTTCTGGATATTTAGAAGTGAAAGACACTTGGTGCTCATAGATTTTAGAGTGAATATATTGATTTAGACAAACATAAATCATAGGCTATACTAATTATTAAAGTGGGTAGGCAATACTGCATGTCCCCTGCAGTGTTATAAATTGTAACCTTCCTAATCTAACTCCTCCTGAAATTCTTTGTAGAACCTATGCTGTTAGAAGGAGCTACGGGTGATTTTGTGGTTCAGAAAGAAGTATATTTAGAATTAACATATATATGTCTTTTAAGTGTACACCAGTTTAAGCACAGATTTTGGAAGATGAAATGTAAAATGTAAATTACTTAGGTCACGTTCTCTTTTCAAGGATTAAATCTGCTATTGCAACTAACGAACATGAACTTTGGATTATTATAATAAACAGACTCTCTTCACAATTATTTAATAAACATTAATGTTGTGCCTGAGTTCCAAAGATAATCTGAACAGACAAGATTAAATTTGCTTTGAAAATATGCATAGGAGGGTAGGAATGAAGGCCAAGGCACAGCTGACACGTGACAATAATCACACAATTTTGATTTAGTCCATAGATAGCAATTATTTTTAAAGGTAAAAAATAAAATCCAATTATACCAATATATTACAATCAATATATTAAAAATATTTTGACTTTTTTCTTTTTTTTTAAGTTTGGCTCTATGAAAAACATCCAAATTGCAAATATATAACTAGTGGGGGGGTTGACAATACAAATATTTCTTGAATAATAAGTTCTGTACAGAGTGCTGTATATAGTTTGTCATCCTTTAGAGAAACCCTGAATTACTGAATTAACCCCGAATGCCGAATTACTTATTTTCAACATAGAGAAGAGTAAAACCGCAGTACTCTTTAACTTAGGACATTAAAATATGCTTGTTACTTTTGAAATCAAAACATTTATTTTATAAGTTTCATTTTGTTGAAAAATATGATGTTTATCACTTCTAGAAGATTGTCCTTTCCATTTTATAGCATGTAATGATTGTGGACATTGTCCTAACAAGTTAAAAACCCTGTTGAACCTGTGTTAATTTAAGAAAAGTGAAATACAGTGAGAAAAAGTTATATTTGAACATGACAATGAATTACACTGATAATCATTTGGAATGAGGATTTTTATAAGTTTTAGAAAATAGTAAGATCTTTCATTGATGAGTATCTTTGCAGGAATGCCTTGCACGTATTTAACTAAAAACAAAGTTGCCTGCCACTAATAAAATACATGGTATATTTAATTGAAAGTGCAGAAACAAAACCAAGACAAAAGAAAATGGAATACATTTCAAATATGTTTGAACCTTTATTGAAAATGACTTGCATTTTTCAAGCTTTGTAATTAAGATAGTTTCCATTGTACTAGTTACCTGTTTTATAAATATTAAGATATTTATTTGTATTCTGTCTTTTCAATTAACTAATCATATATGGAATGTCCCTTTCACTTCTCTTAGTTTTCTGCCCCTGGAAGAACAAATTATTTATTATTACCTAATGTTAATTTTTTTTCTTTACAAAATCAAACCAAATTAACTTTGCATTTTACTTGGAGCCAAGAGATGTTTGTTGATGTCCACCTAATGTGAGAATAATTTACTTTTTGTAGCAACATAATCAAATTTCCCTCTTTTCCTTCTTGTTCTTAACTGCATATGAAAAATAAATTAGCATTAATGTGCAGTTTTTCCCCAAATCCATTTGTTGAGTTAGTACTTTAAAATCCATGCATGTTAGTACATTGAACACATCTTGACATTTATGCTTCTCTTTATATACTTCCTACGGATGCCTTTTCTCGGTAAAATGGAACTTCTTTGTCTGTCTTTGACTAAATTCAGACCTTTAAAGTTTTAATGAGAGATGTCTCCAGGATGGTGAATGCAACCACAAACTCTTTGTCTCCCTTTATTTCCTTCTCTTTTTGACCACCTGAAACTTTCAAATTGAGGCGATTATAATCAACATCAATACGAAGTTGGGATCCAAAGTAACATAACTGATCCTCATGTCTGGCTTCTAGACTAGTTTTTTAGACCCAGCTCTCGTTCTCCTCCTTTCTCCTCAATTCGCAAGTAAAATATGTAATTTTTTTACATCTATTTTACAATTGTTTATAGATTTAGACACAGGTAAATAGGAAAGTAGCCAGCATTAGAATTTGGAAGTTTCAAGAGACCGTCCCTTGAATTAGTGTTGCTGAAGGCTTTGGGCTGTGCTTTTTTGTCAGAAGTTAAATGTAGGCATTACATCAGAGAGCTTTCCATCCACTTAGGTCACACTCTGGATCATCTTCATACAGATAAAAGGAATTCTTGATTAGTTAGTGCTTCCTGAGAGGCAGTATGGTTTAGAATTTAGATTCTGAAACCACACCACCTGGTCTCAAATTCTAGTTCTTACTAGCTATGTGACTATAGACAAGTCATTTAGCTACTTTGTGCTTCAGTTTTGTTATCTGAGGAATTAAGATGATAATATTATCTACCTCATATGATTGTCATGAGGGAGAAATGAGCTCTTGATAAATAGTTTTGTAATACTAAATAATTTTTTTTAAGATTTTATTTATTTATTTGACAGAGAGAGCCACAGTGAGAGAGGGAACACAAGCAGAGGGAGTGGGAGAGGGAGAAGCAGGCTTCCCGCTGAGCAGGGAGCCCAATGCAGGGCTCAATCCCAGGGCTCTGGGACCATGACCTGAGCCGAAGGCAAATGCTTAACCCACTAAGCCACCCAGGTGCCCCGTTAGTAAATAATTTTCTAGTGGGAAATATAATTAGTAGTCAGGTATAACTATAAACGGACTACTATGTAAATTTTACTACCATAAAGTTTTAACCACCAATTCATTATTTATCATTATACAAATAACTAAACCTATTCCTCAGATTATTGTTGCTATTGAAAAATAGGGTAACCTTAAACTTCCCTTTTGCTAGGATAAGTAATCCAAATTTCTTCACTTCTGCTTTCCAAACTTTACAGTTCTCCTCTGAATCTTTGGGCAAATCTTCATGACATTATTCAGTCATGGATGCTAACTTAACCTCAGGGCTCACTGAGGCGGCGGGGGGGGGGGTCCAGTCAATTCTGTTTCTGTGGAAAGAGAGCATAATCATTACTGCATGTTTCTCCATCAGTTAATTGCGTTTCTAACAGAGTAACATTGCTGACTTGCTTGGTTGATGGGGACACTCTGACCGCACTATTCTTTTTGCCGTGTTTGCTCATGGTTGGCTAGTCTTCAGCTTTCTTCTTTATAGTTTTCTGCTCGCTTCTGAGTTATTTAACTGTATCATTCCGTTTTATGACCAGGAAACATAAGAGGTGTTAAGTAGAAAATAATTTAGTTGATCCCCTTGCTGCTGTGATGTATGTAGCAGAGCTTTGCCCACAAAGGGAAAATATGGTGTGACAAAAGTCGAGGCTTTTTCACAGCCCCCCTCCCCCACTCACTGCATCTGATAATGACAATGATGAGGTGTGCCTGCTGACATCGTTCCCAAGTGAGGATTTTGGCAAAATAGATGACTTCAGAGTAATAATAACATTTTAAAGAGTTTTCAGAAGATGTACTCACTGCTGTAGAAATGATCTCTTTCTCTCTGCTTATCTCTGTAATGCATTAAAAATTGTTTTACCATTAAAATAAAAACTGCAACATCTTACCACTGTTTAGTGTATTTAAGAGCAGAAACTTATTTAGAGTGCCTCATTTTGCACCCATCTCAGGAATAGGCCCATGGTCTCTGTATTTCCATATGCCTCCATTGTGCTCTTAGGCAATCAATCATTTTTTTTTTTTTATGTCTCCTTGGGAAGAATAAAATACAAGCTAGTAAATCCCTGTTCTGATTTGGATTAAATGGGCTGAAGACCAACTGTGATTTGTTTTTTCTGTCTTTTGACTCTAATGTCAGGGGGTGCTTAGGTGAGTTACAAATGCAAATATGTGTACTCCTGCTTCCCTTTATAAGGTTGACTGCCTTTAAAACCCAGATCTGAGAGAACTAGCTTAGAGGATTTTTATACTGAATCCTCTACAAATGCATGTCCACTTTCTAGAAGCTAAATTAACAAAACTTTCCTCATCGACTTCTCAAGTTTTCTCTTTTGCATGCCCATGGTAGTTGGAAAAGCCACTAGTGGAACATTCAGCATCTTTGATAAAAATTTAGAAATAAAACTCACATGTACTTATTCTTCTACATAGTGTCTCTCCTTGCAGTCAAAACAGAGCCTTTGAACAGCAGTGAAGCGGCAACCACCACTGGAGATGGAGCCCTTGACACTTTTACTGGGTCAGGTAAAGCCTTAAGCTCATGCGTTGCTACGTTCACATTGGGGTGCTCATCATCTTCCTAGTGAATAAGCAGCGGAGTTTTGAGAATGTGGATTTTTATTGATTTAGCATTAGATTTAGTTTTTGGAGAACTAATTGTCATAAAAATATATACTTTTAGAAAAATTATACTTGGAATCGTTTTGCTGGTTGACAGCAAAACAGTCCTCTGCCTTTCTTGTTAGGAATAAGCAGGGCTGGCTTCCTTTGGAATTATTTTATACAGTGTTTAATAATTAGGTTGTAATCGTTGGCTTTGTTCCCTTGACTTGTCCATTTAAATGGCGTAAAAAACTCCCTTCTTTCCCAACATTCAAGATGTAAAACTATCCATTTGATTCCTTCAAAATAACCTTGTTTCCTCTCTGGGTTTAAAAAAAATCCTCCTGTGTAAGCAGCTGAGTGACAAGTATTAAAGGTTAATGGGCTTTGGGAGGACACATGCTGGTTGCATTAGAACCCAACCTGAGAGCACTACTTTCACCCAGTGCTTCAAAGAGAACAATAGCATGTCTTTAAACAGCAATCCTTTTAAATATAAATACCTGATAACTCCCAGGTGGGCACAAAGGACACGCATTAAGTTGACTTCTTCAAGATTTTAAGCTACAATATTTTGTTTAGTTTATTATCTGGTGAAAGGATTTTTTTTTTTTTAACCTGAGAAGGAATTTGAATAGCATAAAGATGAACAGTAAACCTAGAGAAGTTTTTGTGGTAAGTACATCGTGGTTCTGTTGGTCTACCTTAACAGCTTACGTTTTATCCATATTCTCACATACGGAGGTTGTATGTGGGTGTGCTTCAGTTATAAAGAGTGGAGGCCTGTCCTTGAGTATAGTATCCTTGTAGCATACATTGCATTTTTATAGATACAGATGAGCCCCTCTCATTAGTTCACACTGATTGGGAGCAGTTGCTGTGTATTCACATAAATATTAGTATTTCAGACAGAAAGAGGTAATAATTCTTATTACACTCTGCCCTGAGACTCACATGCACTAATCTGTAGGCTTTCTAGCAATTCACTTGCCTCCCAGGAGATAAATAGGTAGCAACTTACTCTAGCAGTCTTTATTGCTCACCTACCATAACTCTGGTAAACTTTCTGCAGAGTGAATGCATGGGAACACATTTTTAGGGAAAGAAGTGGAATTACTAAGGAACTGTTGGCATACTTAAATACCATACCACAAGTTCACTGATAGCTAAATGACAACATTGTAGAACAATAGCTGCACAAGGAATTTCAGAGGTTTCTGATCTGATTTATAGGCAAGAATACAGAGGTGCAGATAAGTTAAAGGTGTGAAGGCCATACGGTCCAGGCCTCACAGCTGCTCACTGGTATGATTGAGTGCAGAGCAGTGTTCTGATCAGTCTGGGAGTCCCTTCTGTACTACCCCATTGGAAAATATAAGAATGGAAAAAGAAATAGCTGTGAGCTGCCACCCTGTCTAAAATTCACTCACATTATCTTTACAAATAGTTGCCCAGTTTTCTTTTACGAATTTTCTAGGGCTGTGCTGTCCCATAGTCACTAGCCAATAGGTGGCTATTTAAGTCTCAATTACCTTAAAATTTGGTAAAAGGAAAAAATGTTTTCTCTAGTCACAGCAGTCACATTTCAAGTGTTTAAGAGCTGCCTGTGGTCTTCCAGTGGCTACGGTGTTGAACAACTCAGCTACAGAACATTTCCAGCTCCACGGAAGGTTGTTGGACAGGTTCCTCTGGACAACAATGTTCTAAGTCGGGGATTCCCAACAGCAGCACTATTAAAAATTTGGCTAACTTTTTTTCTTTTTTTGTTTGTAGGGGAGGATCTGTCCTCTGCGTTAGAAGAGGTTTAGCAGCATCCCTACTGTCTATCCCAGAATGACCGTAGCACTCCCCAGTTATGACAACCCAAAATGTCTCCAGACATTTTAAACGTCCCCTCACAGGCAAAATTCCTACCTGCCCAGCTCCCTCTCTTCCCATCGCCTACCCCAATGAGAGTCTCTGATCTAAGGTGACACAGTAATTAGAATAAAACCTTAAAATTGTTTGCATCATGCTCTGAGAATCTGGTAATATTGTATAGAAATTTGTTGTAATTAATTTTCAGGACCTTTTGAAAACAAGCAGTTTGCTTACTTTTATTTGCAGAGATGATGGAATATAATAAGTTGAGTGCTTTGGGGTAATATCTCTTGTTTACTGAAATGACAATGGGGAATGAAAGGAAAATCTCTGAAATCTGTACATGGTAGTACAGAAACCATACTGGAGATTAGGCTGCCCTGTGTAGGAACAGATTTTACTCTGGTCAGCATAATCTCAACCCACTTTAGTCAAATTTTGTTGTTTTCGGTTATCTGCAGATTCATGAGTTAGAATAAATATACATTTTAGTTTAGAAGCAAGTTTTGTGTGAACATCTTAGTTTTCTGAGCCAGAGGTTTTGCGTTTTACTTAGAAAGTGAACATACAGATAGTAATAGAAATTTTAAATGTTAAGACTTGATACTGTTATGGGTACATTATTTTAATGTTGCCTAGATTCATTCATTAGCAGGAGGAAAATCCTATATATTCAGATTTCCGTTCAGATGTATGGGGCTTTTTTCTAAAAAATTTTGCTCTTTGGCCTTTTTTTTTTTTTTTTTTTTATAAAAGCTGCTGTGGTGGATGGTTCTTTTCATTATTTGATGTCTCTTTGGAAAAACTTTGTGATTTGCAATCTTGAGAAGACCTGATTACTATAAAGTCTTGAGTGTGCCAAAGTGACGTTTTATAAATAAGAGACAAAAACACATGGAGTTATGCCTCATTTAACTATATTTTTGCTAAAAAGAGTACTCACTATTGTGAGTTAATGAATCAGACTGAATTTCCTGGGGAATAACATTATTGCTATTATGTAATGTACACTTGGTGCCTGTGATGTAGAAAAAGCGTGTTCTCACTGAAGTGATTTGAACGTTTTGAACATTAAGCTTTTAATAAATCAGTAGAAAATTAATGGTTCATTGGTCAATTGATTTTCAAATTTATATAGCAAATTCACTTAAATTTTGCTTGATTAAAATATTTAGAACATGACACCTCTCGTCATATTCAGTGATTTTCAAAATTGATTCATAATATCCTTGAAAACAAACTTCTGCACGATTGCTATGAAAACTTTAATATACTTTCCATACTCAGAGCCTACAGGCCAAAATAGCATTTTAAATACATTAAATTCTATGTGTTTATGAAATGACAGATCACAAGGGTACTTAATAGCATTTGGATATAGAAATATATCATGTTTCATAAAATAGTTAACAACCTAAACCTATTTGTCACTTTTACAACTCTAAAAGTTTAGTTCCAGAATTATTATGAACAACTTAGGAAGGACATAGTACTTTGAAGTATAACCGTGATTGATTAGACTAAACTAATTCCAGCACTGCATTGTGTACTACTTTAATCTTTTTGAAAAGTGAATGAACAGCAGATGGCTTAATAAAGACACTCTGTGTGCCTGCCCAGTATGGATTGGCTCTGAAGGGACTGCCTCAATACTTTGGAGTCCGTATATTTGCAATACATCTGTCTTAGTCAAGGCAGATGGTGAAGGGAAAGAGAAACTTCCAAACTTTTGAATGTATTCCAGTTTGGGGCTGCATGTTAGGACAAAATGTTAATAGGACCTGGCTTTCACCTTTAAGTTCTTTTCAAAAAAGTGCTTTCTCTGATAGTTCAAAATATATTTGTAAGTATGATTACTGCTGCATTATGCAATTATGTTTCTTAAGACGTGGTGCCTTACCCCTCTTGCTTTCTATGCATATTCCAGTTAGTACTCAAACATTTTGGACTCTGCATTCTTAACTGTCATCTGATTGGTAGACTTCGAGGCACTATAAAATGATAGCATTTTACAATTTCAAAGTGAAGTTGGAACTTCACATTTTTCCTGAATTTTTATTGTATTTTTAGTAGCATAAATATGGAGGAAGAGCAATATGTTGCTGTCATATTTGGAATTTAAAACATAAAACATAAGGTCTGAAAATTTTAAAAATTTACTTTTATGTCATGAAAGAAATCTTAATGATCTGTAATCAAAGATGTTTATTCATACTTAATCATACATAAGAATATGCTATTGATGTGAGAAAGCAAAAGAAAGAAAGGATTTGTGAGAAGATTTCATTTTATGCTCTTAGAGCAAACTTGAAGCAGTTCAATTAGAAGAAAATATTGAGGCATCTGTTTCTGTTTAGAAAATGAATTTTTTCTGTTTAGAAAATGAGTGAATTATTAGAAACATCTCTTGAACATGATAATTTCTTCAAACTGGTTTTGTCATTCTAGTGAAAACTTATTCATGAAGCAACTTTTTTTTGCACTGGTTTTTGTGTTTTACAGTAATAACAAGTAGTGGCTACAGCCCCAGATCAGCGCATCAATATTCCCCACAGCTATATCCTTCCAAGTAAGTCCTCAGTAGATTCTTTCAGATTTGTTAGAATAATTTTCCAGAATTATCTTTATTAATCTGTACTCACATAACATAACTTCATATTGAGATACCTTTACGTATATAAACGTGTTCTAGATAGTTGAATAGGTGGACGCTTGTATAAATCAGTTGGGTGGATTAGACATACGGATAAATGTCCTTTACGAATCTAGAAAGAGAGATATACTCATGTTTGTCCAGACAGTTCCTTTAATTCTGGGTCTTTGTATACCTTGAGGAAAGCATCAAGCTCAAACCAGAAAACACTGATTTCTTAATGGAAAGTCAAAAATGCTGACTAGCTTAAAGAAAATCTAAAAAGATTATATTTTATTCAAATGTTAACCCTTCATAATTTGTTTCATATTACATTATTTTCATTGGATTTCAAATTCTCAGAAACATATTTTTGAATAATGTGCTCTATTGTTTTTATAACAAATGAAGTCAACTTATTGAAGACAGTGGTAGAAATTTCAAATTTAACAATATGAGGTACATATCTGAATTTGGTTACAATCAGCCAGATGTGTTAAGATTTTGGAACCATGATTCACACACATTTAAATGTTAATCGCTGCAGCAGCTACAGTCTCTGCCCTTAAGTACAGATTGGTGTTTGGATATCCATTCAGGAACATTCTGTAAAATGTGGCATGATAAAGGGAGTGGCATTCCATTTCTTTTCAGGAAGCAGCTGCCTGCCTTTTTCCTTTCTTTTCTTTTTTTAAATGTCCCATTGTTGGTAGGGCTTTCCATGACTCTTGTATCCATTGTAGAGCAGTAGGTCACTTGTGACTGCAAGTATGCTTATGAGCATGCTAACTGCTCTGGGCCCCCCTTCCCTGCCCTGCACACTATTTCAGAGGTAAACAGGTACTGTAGACCTGGAAGAGACTTTAGATACAATATCTGATCCAAATTTCTCATTTTACAGGTGAGGTGTAAGTCTTTAGGGAGTTTAAACCATTTGTCCCAAGTCACTAGATTGATCTGTAGCTCGGACGTTTGGACTCTTGTCCTTTCCCTACTGTTAGAATTGTGTTGTGGATAAAGAAGAGGATTACTTCCGGGCTATTATAAGGTTTCACTGAATCTAAGCTGTCTGAAATAATGTGCAGTCTTTGTTGCCACAGTAATGCTATTTTTCTGATATTTAGGCCCTATCCACACATTCTTTCTACACCAGCAGCTCAAACAATGTCTGCCTACGCAGGCCAGACTCAGTATTCGGGAATGCAGCAGCCGGCCGTCTACACAGCCTACTCACAGACAGGACAGCCCTACAGCCTGCCCACTTACGGTATCTCACATCTTCTCTGCTCCTTTGCTTATGAGCGGGTAATCCTGCTGCCTAGTGCTTAGATATTCTAGCATAAGTTACAACTCAGGAGCAAGGTCATTTTACTAATTCAAGGGTCTGCACGTGTGTTTCCCAAACAGATCTGGGCGTGATGTTGCCGGGCATCAAGACGGAGAGTGGACTTTCACAGACACAGTCCCCGTTACAGAGTGGGTGCCTCAGTTACAGCCCGGGGTTTTCCACCCCACAGCCAGGCCAGACGCCTTATTCTTACCAGATGCCAGGTAAGCCACCACACAGGAAGCATGTTATGTGAGGAGGAATTCTCTGGATGAGACTCCTTGGCTTCAGAGTAGGAATATGCCTTCACGAAAATGGTTTTAATTGCTACTGCTCTTCACATCAGGAAAGACAAATAACTAGGGGGGAAAAAAAAACATGGTGAAAAGAATTGAATATACATCAAGAAACATGACCCATACCGAATTTCAGTACTTAAGTTGAGGCTGTGTAAAATTGGCAGGACATTAGGTCCGAGCAGAGTAACCTCTGGGCCACGTCAGTCACACGTAGGGCATCTCCTTAAGTGAGGTTCAAAGATTCATAAAAAGTCCCAGTGTTTTCTTGTCTGTATTCCTTAAGTATGTAATGTTGCTTTGATTATATTTAAAATTGAATTAGTACCTTTCTAAGTCCTATTTACCATTGAACTATTTGGGATTTTCTGTTCATTCCTCAAATACCTCTCCTCTATTAATATTCTATTTCTTACTAGAAATATTTATGTAATTTGTACCTCCCCCTTTATCCTCGGTATCTGAGTATTTACTTTTGCTTCTATGTCTGATCATTATGTAGTAGTTGCAGAAAGAATTTTAGTGACATAGTAAATACATTAAAAGCTTGTTTCTGTCATTTTGTCTATATTGTTAGTCATAAATTTGGGGTTACATGAACATATTTTTTTAATCAACTGCTGTTGAAATTTTAGTTCATCGACTAAAATGAAATAATTACCTAGACCTTTTTGGCTGAAATGGCAGGTCTCTTTTTACCTAAACTGTAGGTAGAAATATAGTTGCATAAATGGTAAAGCCACAGTGAGCCACACAGCTTCAGTTAGGAGTATGAAAGCAACCATGAGTATATTTTCATTTATTCCCCCAAATACTTTCACGTTGGATATTCTGGGCCAGGTCAGTTTGCATTAATTACATAATATCATTGCAATTCAAAACACATTGATAAAACAAATAATCAGCTGTGTCAGTAGTCTTTCATTTTACTTCTTCATAAGTCCATTCTGTAGAATGTATGTTTTGAAAAAATCTTTAAATTGATATTTCACTTGTTTTTAATTTAAAAAATAATTTAAAATTTGAATTTAAAAAATAATTAAATTTCTAACCTTGTACTCAAATTTTAGAAGGCTCTTAAACCCTAGGTGACTGTAGTATGAACAGCTCTTCCTTGAGTCTGAGCCCCACTTCACATCTCTCTTGGCTCTAAGGAAAGGACATAGGAGGAAAGAAAAGACAGGGTGCTATAAGCATCAATTCTAAGTTGGTTCTCTGTTTCCTAAGCTAAACCCATCTACATTCTAACTCAAATGGTTTCTGTGTGCATATGCAGTTGGTATGACCATTTGAAAATTCCAGTATCTTCCTAGGAGTACTCTAATTGGTATGACCATTTGAAAGTTCCAGTAGCTTCCTAGGAGTACTCTGTCTGCATCGCATTTTATTCTTTGAAAACCTCTGCTCTTCTAGACATTTAACCTTTAAAGGTTAGCTGCTGTCCTTAAGACGGTTCCCATGTGCTCCTGTTTAGTCCAACAGACATCTATAGCAAAGACTTTAACTGTTGTCACAAGAGGGATAGAGCTAAGCACATTTTTCCTTATAAATCTCTCAACTTCAAATTTCACGTTTTGTTGCCTTAACCAAATTAAAAATATATTTCTTTCGTTGGATTCTGCAAAGTGAAATGTTATTATTATTTTGCAAAGAAATACTTCTTAAATGCAATTTGTTCTTTATTTCTAGGTTCTAGTTTTGCGCCATCATCTACTATTTATGCAAATAATTCAGTCTCCAATTCAACGAATTTTAGCGGTTCACAACAGGTATAGTAGCTTTTTTGTATTTAGGCTTTTTGTATCTGTTTCAGATCTTTGAAGAATAGTTTCAGATTGTCATATAAGTGCATATTCTCCTAGAAAAAGGTTTCTTTATTTAAAATTAAGATGGCATTTCAAGGTGGTAAAAAGTAGCTTTCCAGAATTCTTGGGATCTGTGTTATTTTGGGTATTTTAGGTTTTCTGGTTGCTGAAAGTTTGCCCTTTAAATTTTTAAGCCACGATCATTTTAATCATTTGGCATAGAACTACAAAATGTATTGCGTATTTTCCTATTATTTTAAACTGTACTAAACATAATTTTATTTTTTTGACAAGTTATTATGAATGTTAATTAAAAGATTGAACTACAACCAATAATTAGGTTATGACATTTTTAGTCCAGAATATTTGTTACTAAACCAAATGCCTCTTGGATTTTTTTCTTCTAGTTCTGTGGTTCATTTTAATAAATGTTTGATTCCTACTTTCCTGACAGCTATAATTTTTGTCTGTCACTGTGCTTGCCTCTCGCAGTCCTTAGTCCTCCTCCTAATTATGTTTTCTTAGTATTTTTGTGAGTTCTAAAATCTAGTTTTTTGGAATTATGTGTGGAGCAAGAGTGAATGTTTCTGATGAGTGAATATACTGACACTTCAGAATCTTTTGTCCTTATTCCCTAGTTCTCAGTCATGTTCAGAGTAGTTGAGATAGAAGGGTAGTTGTTTTCCTTAGTGGACAATATACTATTTTACTTTAACATAGTTGTTGGACTTTTATATATTCTAAAATCTAAGTTATTGCATAAGTGTGCTCTTTGGATTTACTGAAGGAATTATATTAATTGCCTTCTTAATGTTTATTAATGCAACAAAATAAAAAAAAGAAATTGTGATTATTAAACAGTGTGGAAAAATAATATTTTTGATAGAATTAAACTGTGTCATTTGGCATTGGTTAGAAAAATGGTTTCTTAAAACATTAAACATTAAAGCTGGGTATGCCTATTTTATATTTAAAAATATTGAGAATCTTTGATAATCCACGTAGCTTCATTTTGCTTATTTTTTATTGATTTAGGAAACATTTATTGAGTACTTACTATCCATTAGACTTTTGACTAGACATTGAAGATTCAAAAATAATGCCATTGTTCTCTGCTGTCTGGAAGGAAGAAATCCTAAAGAAACAGATAAGAAAATAATATGAAAAGAGGGTAGGATATAATGAATATAATAATAGAAATATATACTAGGCAGCATGGTAGGTAGCATAAAGGAAAGACTACTCTGTTCTACTTGGGAGGATTTAAAAAAAGATTCATAAAGGAGAAGAAAGATTTATGGCATAAAACAGATCCAATGCTATCTGAACATTTAAATACAGTGGCTCCAATATAACACATAACCTATATTTTGGACCATGGTTGGAATACCAGTCTATTATTTTAGTTAATACTTATTGAGTAGTTATCAAGTCTTAGGAACTGGTCTGTATGCTAGAGACATGTAAATGGGGACAGGAGTGGATAGGACCTGGTTCCTGCCTCCTGGAGATTACCAACTGCTGAGAGAAGCAAACAATAAACCAATAAACATATAAGTAAATATAGAATTGGAAAGCATGAGGAGTCAGAACAGAGTCCTATTAAAATATTAATAGAAATCTAATTTTGAGTAAGGAAGATCTTGTGGAAGGCTTGTCTGTGGAAACAACATTCGAGACAAGTCTTCTAAGACTGTGGTGAGGAAGAAGGGCCAGGGTGTTTCGGGCATAGAAAGTAGCGGGTACCAAACCTCTGAGAGGTGAAATCCTTGGTGTGCTAGTGAATTCAAAGAAAGGGAGTTAGTTTGTGCATGAGGGCAGATGGAGAAGCATATTTCTGAAGATAGGCAGGGCCCTGGCTCTCTGTGTTTGTATGTAGGGCTCTGTATGTGTATCTCTCTGTGAGGGATTTCAGTTTTATTCCAAGCCCAGTGGGAAGGATTTCGAGCAGGAGAATAGCATCATACAGTTTATGTTCTAAAAAGATTACTCTGGCTTTAGGCACTTTGGAGAAAACTAAACCTAGAAATGAGACAAATTGGAAAACGAGTCCATTGGCTCCAACAGGAAGTGAAGGTAGCTTGGACCAGGGTGGCAGTAGTGGGATGAAGAGAAGGGGAGATCTCTGAGATAAGTTTGAGTACAAAAAGACGTTTTAGTCACCAATAGCTAGCAGTCTGGACTTTTCCTCTAAGTCACTTCATCTTCCCGTAAGGACTTTAGCAGCCTCAGGGAGAACTTCAGCCCACAGATGTTGGAGTCAGCTTCTCTGGGTTCCAGTTCCAGCTCTGAAACTTGCTAGCTGTCTGACTTCAAGCAGATATATCACTTAACCACATTGTGCCTCCATCCCCCTCAATGTGAAATGGGGTAATAATACTGCATAGGCGGGTATGGGGATTAATTGGGTAAATCCACTTAAAGCCTTAGAACACTGCCTGACACCAAGTAAGTACTGTGTAAATGTTTTACTCTGAGAAAGATATGTTGCTAGGAACTTTGTCCAAATATTGTTGAGAGGTTTTTTTCCTTAGCTTACAGGTGGTGATGGGGAACATCAGATCCTGAAATTAACAGACAAATAGAATTTTAGTTTCCTGCCATACTAGAGTTGGACCAGAAAATACAGGGGTTGGGGCACCAACCCCCCACAAAGTCAAAAACCCATGTGTAACCTTTGACTCCTCCAAAACTTAACTAAAATAGCCCACGGTTGACAGGAAGCCTTACTGATAACATAAATAGCCAATTAACACAAACTTTATGTTATATGTATTATATATTGTATTCTTACAATAAAGTTAGCTAGAAAAAAAGAAAATGTTATTAAGAAAATCATAAGGAAGAGAAAATACATTTATAGTACTGTTCTATATTTATTGAAAAAAAAATCCACATATCAGTGGACCCATACAATTCAAACCCATGTTGGTCAGGGGTCATCTGTACTTAATCCTTTCTGTTAATACACATATTTGCTTATACCCGTATTTACTTATATAAAGAATTTCCTTCTTTGGAAACCACATCAAATGTGGATCTTTGTTTCCTTAGGAACATGTATCAGGGAATCTTAATTCTGACCAAGGATTTGTCATCACTGATAACAATTTGGGCTAAAACATGCTAGATACATTAAACACCAATTATTCCAACAAATTCTTATTTGTTACCTTAATATGTAAAAGGATTTTGAAGGATTACTTAGATCACTTTAAGGTTCTTAGAAATTTTTAATAAAGGGCAGGTTGGAGGAGTTGATCCAATACTTTCTTTTTTCTTTTTTTTCTCTAGCAAATGAGGCAAACTCAATATTTGAAAACCTCACTGGAGACTTCAAGTCAAGACCTTAGATGACACATAGCCTATAAAAGGCTGGGCAAAAAAACTCTCCAAAAAAAAAAAAAAAAAAGCCTCTCTTATTCATTTTCTTCTATTTACTCTTTATTTCATGCATAATTATCAAGAGTAATGTAGAAGGGTAACAGAAATCACATAAACGCCAACTGAGGTCCGTATGGAAACTGAGAAGGGGTAGGCATATCATCTCCTTGTGGTGATATTAGAAGATGTGTAAGAACTGGTGCTTACCCTCTCTTCTCTCCCAGTGCATAAGACCTTATGATGTGCATCCCCGAATAAGTAATCATGGTCAAGTGAGGCAGTTTGAGAATTATGTGCTGGACCTGGTTGGCGAAGCCAGCAGGGTAGTTCGTAACTGTGTGCACTCACTAGGATCACCTCAAAACAGTGGACTCCAAAAACAAATGGAGCCAAATACTAATCTTTCAGTTACCATAGTGATTGCTTTTCTTTGGAGCATACCAGAAGTAATTTCTCCTTCAAGCACACATATGTCTCAATTATTATTTCAGGATTACCCATCCTACACAGCCTTTGGCCAAAACCAGTATGCCCAGTATTACTCAGCATCCACGTATGGAGCATATATGACATCAAATAACACAGCTGATGGCACATCATCCTCGACCTCAACCTATCAGTTGCAGGAATCTCTCCCGGGACTGACTAGCCAACCAGGTACAGATCTTCATCCAGGTGAAATACTTTTATGTTTTGCTGGGTCTAATATATGGCGAAAAAGGATATTTTGGAAACAAGGTTGGAAGTTCTCATCTAATTATGCTGATGTTTAATCTGTGCCAGTACCACTGTATAGGATGAGGCTTTGCTTCTGGCGTTTCAGAAAACCCTTCTTTTAGATGTGGATGGTTGAGAGATTTTAATTTCAAAAGGCAGTATATATATACATATATATATGTATGTATACATATGTGTGTGTGTGTATATACATATATCTATACATGAATGTGGATATAAAAAGGTCAGTGGACCTTTTGCCTGACTAATCATTTCTTTTGTAAAGATCATGACAATATGGAAAAGCTACAGTAAGATTATCTTCTTTGGGTGTAACTGATAGCATTTCCTTTAAGCTTGAGAGACTGTGTAGCTCCTTCATCTTTGTGAGTCATCAGGAGCTCTAGGCAGTGAACATTTCCTACACTCCTAGGATGTGTAGGATCATTGGTAGGTAGTTTGATATCTTTCTCTGATTAGCACTTACTTAAGATCCGTTGTATTCTTCATTGTCTGAAGCTTATCTGCAGTGCCACTGGACTTGGATTTGCTGACACAGCTAAAGTATTTAAAGTTAAATGCAAAATTAATAAAGATTCATTGTAATCCTATTCAAATTCCAACAGGACTTTTTGAGAAATCATCAAGATGATTCTAAAATTACAAGGAAAGGCAGAGGAACTAGATAAGCTGAAATAATTTTGAAAAATAACAAAGTTTGGGGACTGACATTGCCTGATTTCAAGACTTATTATAAAGTAAAGTTATCAAAAATGTGTGGTATTGACAAAAGGATAGATACATTAAATAATGGAGTAGTGTAGAGAGTCCAGAAATAGACCCATATGCATACACTGGAAAATGGATTTTTGACAAAGGTGCAAAGTCAGTTGGAGATAAAGGGTTTTTTTTGTTTGTTTGTTTTTCAAAAAAAAAAAAAATGGCACCGGAACAATTGGACATCCATATGCAAAAATAACAATAATAGCACAAACAAAAAACAAATCCCAAAACAGAATCTTGACTTGTAACTCACACCATATACAATATACATAAAAACTAAAACTATAAACCTTCTAAAAGAAAACATGGTGGAAATTTTTGTAGCCTTGGGTTACATAAAGATTTTATAGGTATGACATTAAAAACACAATCTCTGAAAGAAAGGAAATTTGCCTTCGTAAAATCAAGAGCTTCTGTTCCTTGAAAGACACTGTTACAAGAATAAAAAGACAAGCCACAGATTTGGAGGAAATACTTGCAAAACACATATCTGATAAAGGATTTGTATCCAGCATATATAAAGAACTATCAAGATTCAATAAGAAAAATGAAATTAAAAATTTTTATAATCACTAACTAGTATGTTCAAACTTATTTTTCTGACTTCAGTTATTTTGCAAGATCCAAACTTATCTTTTTTTGTCCAGGGTTGGAAGGACAAGAAAATGGGGAAACACGGTCACCACACTATAAATTCTTTCTAACTGGACCAGTAATTCCAAGAAGATTTAAGGCCATTTAACAATTATTTATGCGTGCCTAATAGGTCCCAGGTACTGCCAATGTTCCAGTAGTGAATGAACTCTGCATACCTGTAGCTTCCATTTGACAAGCGAGACAACTATCAAGCAAATAATTAAAAATGTATGAGTGTTGAAAAGGGAAGATGCTAGATAATATAAGGAATGTTAGCAAGAAAACTAATTTGAACATAAAGTGAGAATGAAGCTAACACTTCAAGTAATAGCCAAGATATGCTCAGATCATGAATTGATGAAATAGTGACATCCTTTCTTTTTGGTTCCCTATTCAGAATAGGGTCTCTAATCTAACTGTGGCTCCAAGGAAAACCTGTCTTGTATTCTACTAGACTTTGTCTTTGGTGCTCCTACATTTCAGTTTCTTTCTCTTCATCTTCCCCTTTAGATCTTCCCTTTCATGACCACACAGTCCCCTTGAATTTCTGGTCCTTGTCCCCTTAACGCTCCTGTTTAGGCATTTCATCTCGCCCCAGCTCTCTCAGCAGTTGTATCCTGTGCGGGGCCAGGACTAAGGTAAGGCCAGGGAAGCACGGGGTGCACAATTGAAGGAGACATGCATCCTCAAGGCCCTTCAATTTCACCCTCTTAGTGCCTCACTCACCTTAACCTTGTTTCAGCTTAAATCCCATGTTCTAAATCTGTCCTGATCCTCTTTGAGTCAGTGGTTACATTTCATCAAGAATATTACTTCAAGTTAAAGAATGTATGGGGTTCCTGGGTGGCTCAGTCGGTTAAGCATCTGACTCTTAGTTTTGGCTCAGGTCATGATCTCAGGGTCATGGGATCGAGCCCCATATCAGTCTCCCCACTCAGCAGAGAGTCTGCGGTAGATTTTCTCTCTCTCCTTCTGCCCCACGCCCCACTCATGCAGCTTGTGCATGCGCACGTGCCTCTCTCTCTCTCTTTCAAATATATAAATCTAGAAGGAGGGATGGGAGGGAAGGAGGGAAATGAACAAAATAAGAAAGAGAGAGAGAAAGAAAGAAAAAGAAAAAGAAAGGAAGAAAGAAGGAAAGAAGGGGAAAGAAGAAAGTGTGATTTCAGAATACTTGCTTAATGGATAGTGAAGATGTTTAGATAAGGGGATATCTTAACTGTGAAAGATTTTTCTCAATAGTCAATGCATAGGGAAACAGGGTAGGATGACTGTATTCAAAAAAAAAAAAAAATCACAGAAGTGTTTGATCATCAAGGTACTGGAGACTGAATGATAGGACCAGAACCAGCAGACAGTTTTTGAGTTTACTAGAATAGAACTACCATGAGTGAAAAATATTTGGTTTTCGAATGTCATATCCACTGGATAACACTTTGAATTTGCTGTTGATTTTGCTCTAATTTCAGTGTGATCACAAAAGTTTCTCTGCAGGAAAGACACAGATGGAAACTTTCCATTAATTAAAGAAGAATAAATATTCAGAATAGCTATTTTGCTTACACTAAAAGTACTAAATGCAGGCATGTAGGTATTCTGAATATGTGACTTTGGATGGGACACATCCATGTGTCACATCCTCATAGTCACTATCAGAATGCAGTTTCTTTAGCTTTCCATTGATTGCTAATGCCAACAACATGGTTTGACATAATTTTCAGGTCTTCTCAGACTTTCTGCTGAATTTAAAGAAGAAATCATTTTTACTTGTAACTGTATTATTCTCTTAACCAAAATTATAACAATAACATGTCTGGATTTTTAGGGAATTCTGTGACCCCAGAACTTCAGGCAAGGAGTATTAAGTTAGATTTTGCCTTTCCAGGTCTGACATTCATGCAAAAAGCCAACAAGTGTATAACTATGGGATTTTTCTTTGTTATTGATGAAATTTGAGGTACTTAGTTCAAGGGTATGAAAAGTATTTCCCATTGACCAGTTCTGCATTTTGGACTGAACACAGAGACTTAACAATTCCATCCACAATTTTTCTTAAATCGTTTGCTGTTCACAGCTCTCGTTTTTAAAAAATAGAAACATACTTTATGTTCTATAATAGACAGGTGGGTGGTTCTGGTTTAGATATAAAACTAAAGGAAATGAAAATGGATCTAAATACTCAAAGCTTAGAAGGTGTAGTTATTCATTACTGTACTAATTAAAGGAGAATTATTCAATCACATACAGTGTTGGCCCAGGAAAAGCCTAGAACAACTGGTAATGACTGATGTTATTTGGAAATTGCAAATAGTATTCAGTTCTTGACTTTACCTTATTAGGCAGTTTGACAATGTATTTAAAGACACATTAGCATACTGATTAAGAACAGATATTTGAGTTTATATTACCTTTATAAAGATCTCTTTTTGCCTTTAACAAAGATTATCTCAGGTATATTATAGTTTTGACTTGCATTCAGAAAGTTTGGTGACTGATTAGCACATTAAGATTAGAGATTTTTGTAGCTCCCCCTCTTTAAATATTTTAAACATCTTGAAAATGAAAAATAATCAGTAATTTGTAACAGTATCATCCTTTACTCTGAGACCTTGGCAAACATTACAATACATTAGCTAATTAAACTTTACAGGTGCTTCAGAAAAGTAAAGGATATAGTAAGATCACTTCACTCTTTGAAAAGAAGCCAGTTTCTTAGGCAGAACTCAGTAGAATTTCCATAGCTTCATGGCATTTCACACAAGGACAGGAAGGAAGGCAAAGTGTTCATTCATTTAATTGAAGCTATCAAGGGGATTTAGATGGAAAGGAGTGACCACATTTAACTTCTCTGCCAATTTGCCTTTTCCCTGCCTGCAGCATTAATGTACCTAGTGCAATTACTTGAATGAAATTTGGCAGGGACACTGGAATTAACAGCTTTCTCTTTAAAAAAAAAAAAAAGTGTCAACAAATGTTTAATGACCGGTTGAGCTCAAGTTCCTGGTTTTTCCCTTTATCAGAAGAAAGGATAGCACCTTCAAAAGATATAGAGGTCAGAACAGTTCCCCTGGGTGGTTGCTATAGGAGCCTCACTACTACACATGCACTCTTCAGGACCTACTCTTTTACTGTGAAGATCTTTCGATGAATTCATTGGCCTTTACTCTCACAAGATTGTAAAAAGTCTATATACTCTTTTGATGGGTAGGAACAGATATAAGTTTGACCTCTTTGTAACCTGGAGGATCTGTTGCTGTTTGGGAGAGAAAGGATAACCTAGTGGTTAAAGCAGGAATTCTGGAGTCATACCAGCATTCTGCATACAAGCTATTTCGTCTTGGTAAGTTAATTTAAAATCTCACATGCCTCCGGTTTCCCATTATTAAAAGAGGATAATGAAGGACCAAATTCTCTGGGTTAAAGTGAAGTTTAACTCAGACATATATATGTAAAGAATGTCTTACAATAAAGAGCTCTGACAAATCAATAAGAAAAAGATAACCCAGTTTTTTTAATGGGCAGAAGATTACCTCATAAAAAAGTTACCTCATAAAAAAAAAAAAAGATCCCAAATGGGCAAAAAAAAAAAAAAAAAGTGTTTTACATCATTATTCAACAAGAGATGATAATTAAAACTACAATGAGACCAACACACCCCCACAAGAGCTAATATAAAAAAAGACTAGCAATACCAAGTATTGGCAAGGATGTGGAGCAACTGGAAATCTCACTGCTTGTCAGAGAGTGAATTAATACAACCACACTAGAAAAAGGTGGTCAGTGTCTACTAAAGATGAACATACGCTTTCCCTCTGACCCAGCAGTCCCACTGCTAAGAATATACCCTAGAGGAATAGGAGCTTATGTCCACAAGAGGTGAACAAGAATGTTTATAGCAGCTTTATTTCTAATTGCCTAAAACTACAAATAACCTAATGTTCATTCACAAAATGGATAAAGCGTAGTATACATATATAATGAAGTTCTAGCCACATGAAAGAAAGAGCAAACAACTGCTGCAGGTTACAAAATGGCAAGAATCTCACAGACATAATGAGCAGTGAATAGAGCCAAACACATATTTCAATAAACTTTTTAAGAAAGAAGGCAGTGCATGACACATACTGAGGATAAATGTGGAGCTACTCTTCATAGTTTTCTTAAAAGGATATGCCTTTACTTTCATCAAAACAACTTGTGTCCATATTTTGTCCGAATTCTTAGAGCCTTTTCAAGATCCTTCTGTTACTTAGCAAAAATCAGTGATATCAAATCCTACTTTTATTGAAATGCGGACACTTCCTATGACCACCCTTTTCCCTTCTTCCTCCTTCTGCTCTTTAGCAACTGGCTCTCCAGTTCATTTAATAGCTGAGTTGTTCTGCCAAACTCCTTCTTTATGGACCCAGTCAACAATCAGCCACTCATAACTGATCACAGTGGCTTTGGAATTTTGCAAGTTTTTGACCTCTCAGCTCTTGCATTTTTAGCAAGAACAAAACTGCCTCATGATAGTTTTAACAGCTGAAAATTGATCTATCATGAGTAGAAAGACAAGTTTTTGTGGGAGGTCATCCAAAAAATTTTATAAGCTTATTAATAAATGGGGCTTAATTTGAATCAGCATTTTATCAGAACGAAAACATTTGACTTGCAGGGCATAGTAACCTTACAAAAATTCTGTTTAAAAAAATAACTAGAAATAGAAAAATTTTTGTGTGACTTTTTTTTAAGTTGGCATGTATTTAAATACCTAAAGCCTCACTTGATGCTTGTACAAGTAAGCTGAAACACGTTTTACTTTAAGATGGGGCGATACTCAACTGAAAACTATAGAGCCTTTATTTATTACACTGTCTACTCTCACACAGTCAATAGCAGAGACCCATGATAGGAACAATGCTAACAATGTTTTAAGATCAAATAATATTTGAAGCACAGACATGTGTTTTTTTGATGCTGTCCTGACATGTACAATGTTTCCCAAAGAAAATGTTATAACCATTAGAAATAATTACAGGTGAGCTTTGTAAAAATGACTATTTATTTAGAACATCTCAGAAGAGGTATGACCTAAATGTTATCTAGCTTGTTCAGATTTGTTTATTTAGATTAATAACTACTTGGCTGTCCTCATAATTATTTTTCTTTAATTTTATGATAAGGCATAGTAGTTATAACTTCTTTATATTTGTTTAAATATAGTAATTTAAATTTAATTTAAATTTAATGTAGTTTGCCCTCAGACTCTCCTAGAAATGTTTACGTATATGATTTAAGTCAAATTAAATATAAATCATTTTTACCTCAGTAATTCATTGCCCATGCTTTAATATACAAAGAAAGAGATTCAGAGAGATTGAGTGAAATGCTTTAAGTCCTACAGTAAGTCTGACTCTTGTTACTTGTGAGGTTTTGCAGCACCTCACTGTCGCTTTGGTTTATCTTAACCCTCTCCCACAGATTTGCTGCTGCTCAGTCCTCCTTCCTCATAAGATGCTCCAGCCCCAGCTTTAGACATGGCAGACGTTCAGGTACCTAGGGGACATGCAGAGGTCAGTTAGATACAAAGTCTGAAACTTCTGTAGGATGTGGCTTCATCGGAGATAGGGATTTATGTATGGGTCATCTCAGAGAGGGTGATTAACCAGTGAGATGGTTAGATCGCCCAGATGGTGTGGAATAAGAACAGTGACCAAAGGTTGGAACTCTTAAATACCAGCATACAAGGAATGGGAGGAGGAAAAGGAGTGCATGTCTCCTAGACGGAGAAGGACTGATGAAAGAGCCTCCAGAGCTAGGAGACCGCAAGGTATCAGCTGCCAAATAATGGCTCTAAGGACGTGGTGTTTAAGAGGATCAAACACAGCTCAGGCATCCAGGAAGATAAGGACTGAGTCTGTCTATTACATCTGTCAGTTAGGTGGTTATCGGGGGCTCTGAGTAGGAGTAGTTTTATTAGAGATTTGGTGAACTGATTATGACAAATCAGATGTCAGGAAGTGGAGGCAAAGGTGCTGTCCACTGCTGTCACCATTGGTCACGAGTGGTTGTCCAGCACCTGGAGCGTGGCTAGGACAGTTGGAGGTCTGCTGTAAGTGTAAAATACACACAGGAGTTTAAAGACTTAGAATGAAAGGGAGATTATGTAAAACGTGTTGTTGATAATTTTTATGTTGGTTACATGCTGAAATGATAATATTGTGGTTATATTGGGTGAATTAGTGTCCACGAATAAAATTAATTCTACGTGTTTCTTTACATTTTTTATTGTGGCTTCTAGAAAATTTTAAAATTATAAATGTGGTTATATTTGTGGCTCACATTGTATTTCTTTTGGACTGCCCTGTCATGTAATGTACTATTCTTTTAAAGTGTATCACTTAGAGAAGATAGCAAAGCAGATACCTTCTAGGTGAAAATGCAAGGTCAAGGGAAGGACTTTTAAACTTGTCCATGGCCCACAGAAGAACAAGAGGTTGGAAGAAAGTTAAGAGAGGGTTTAACTAATGGAGCACGATTCCCTTAGAGGGTGAGGTTGGGAGTCAAGTTTATAGGTGGAGGGATGGGACTGATCCAGAAGAAGACATCTCCTCCTTTGAGCTCTGACATAAAGAGATGAGAACAGAGCTAAATTTGGATAAATATGTAGGGGAGGGTAGAGACAGGGAAAGTGAAGACATACGGAGTATAGAACACATTCAGGTTTAGTAAATCACATAGATTGAAACTATGGGGGATTTGTGTGACCTGCAAAAATTTTAATTGAATTGGGATTTTGCGTTTTGGGGATGATAAATCTTTTTTGTCATGAGTTTTCTATTGTAAAAGGATTCATTAAGATAATTCATAACAAAGACTCATACCTGATCTAAAAATGAAGCACTTTTCTTGATACAAGTCATGTTACTTCTAGGAGAGTTTGATACCGTGCAGAGCCCCTCCACACCTATCAAAGATCTTGATGAGAGAACATGCAGGAGTTCTGGGTCAAAATCCCGAGGAAGAGGCCGGAAAAATAATCCCTCCCCGCCTCCTGACAGTGACCTGGAGGTATGCTGACTTATCCTTAAAGAGTGGAATGTGATGTTTTATTTTATTGAATGACATATTCTATACCTTATAGTGCCATAAGGTCTCAACCTTAAAAAAAAGGATATATCATGAAATGTGTGGATCTTATCATGTAGGCATTTCACAGCTCCAAAATTTGAGATTCCATCCATTATAATGGCAACATTAAAAACTTTAAAATGATGGTACTTTACAAATTCTAGACCTGAGATAATTGCATCTTTTGATCCTAATTGGCACAAATGGAAATTTATAAAATAAAGCCATTGTTTGTGGGATAATTTTCTGAGAGATACTCTATTTGGTAGTATTAAGGTAATGAAAGATGTTTATATGGGTCAATAAAATTTGGGGGGGTCAATAAAATTTAAAAAGGTGAAATTAATCTGTATGGAAATGAAAAGTTGTCTTCTGAAAATGGGAAAAATTCTATTCATTTGATACATGTTAACATTTTTGTATCTATAAGAACTTCCACGCATCTATTTTTCTTGTTGAGAGCTCATTTGAGATATGCCCATGCTAAACAGGTTGATTTTTATTCTAAAACATCAGGGAAACTATTCTTAACCATACTGTGTTACTTCTTACACAACTGCATCCTTCAATTAAGAAAAATACCCAAATTTCCAGACTTGGTAAAATCAAATAATAGTCATTGTGCCTCTTTGTAAGACATCACTTCTTTCACCTGAAGGACAGTAGCGCATTCTGATGCCTTCAGGAACCCAGCAGGTGATATAAATGAGTGAACAGGGCCAGGGAGTCAGCAGAATGTGGGGAGCAGGGAGCATTGGCCCAGTCGAAGGGGGCCCACCCATCACTGCCATGTGGAATGTCAGTCAGCATTGCAGTATCTTCCAGTTGCCCTGCTGTGGTCAGAACCCTGATGTTTGTGTGAAATCTCCTAATCTTGAAATGTTGATCAATAATTTGAAATCTTTCTTTTTTAAAAAATGTTATGTTATTTTATTATGTTATGTTATTCACCATACAGTACATCAAAAAATAATTTGAAATCTTTCTAAACACTGTGCAAACTAAACAACCCATCTGATGGCCTAATCTAACCCAGAGGTCTACGGTTTGCAATTTCTGTTTAGGGATCATTCACTGATTTTTTTTAAATATTTTTAAAAATTTAATCCTTTGCACAAATTGCAAAAACTCTTGAATCCATGAGGCAAAAGATTTTAAAATAGCATTTCAGACACACTTACATCCTAAGTTCAAATGGGTCTTTTGGGGTATTAACTGCAAGTAAATATTTAGATGAGTTCATTCAAATAAGGACATCTGATCTTTAAGCTTATTATGACTTTTTTTTTAATCACTCTCCCTGCTCTGGTTTTATCGTGGTAACATCTGGCAAACTTGGAAAAAAATTAATGGAGTAGCATAGTTTTTTATAAAATGGTATTGAGATTATACCCAACGATGAAGTCAGATGTTTTCAACTAAGAGATTTCTGTTTCCTTAGAAATTGATAATTCTCTGATACTTGTATTTTTCTTCAGCGTGTGTTTGTCTGGGACTTGGATGAAACCATCATTGTTTTCCATTCACTGCTCACAGGGTCTTATGCCCAGAAGTATGGCAAGGTAAGAGATCAAGAAATTTCAGCCCAAGACACCTTGTTGGAATTTTATTTTGTTCAAAAATCCAGAGTGATTTCAGTTCATGATTTCAGGGTCAGGAGATTGAGCCCTGTGGCAGGCTCCACCCTCAGTGGGGACTCTGCTTGAGATTCTCTCTCTCCCACTGGCCTTCCCCCTTCTCACACTCTTGTGCTCTCTCTCTCTCTCTCTCTCTCAAATAAATAAATAAATCTTTAAAAAAAATCCAGAGCAATTTAAATATGTTTAAGTGTTTTTATTGTAGGCTGTCAAATCTGCTCTTAATTAATTTCCAGTGGCTCATTGTTCTTTAATGAGAACTGGCAAATTTTACAAACGTAACTCAAAATTGGATTTCTATTTTTCAGAATGCCTTTGATTTTTCTGCATCAAAAGCAAAGTTATTGCAATGACATAATCATTTTAGAAAAATTATTTTGTAAATTAAAATGGACTTTCAACATTATAAAATCATATATCATCCTCTCATAAGGAAACTTTAAGAAATTGCTTGACTTCACTTATTGCACCAAATGTTGCTATAGAATGCCAGTTGAAATAAGGAAGTAATCTTTTGTCTGAGAGATCCTTTGGATTTGTGAATACAAGTATTTTTTTATAACTTTGAATAAGCATTTGAGCAGCCACTGGGGATAACACCCCCTCACACACGCAAATTCAGAGACAGATGGTCTCGTGATTCCTCTTCCTTCCTTTCTTCCTTGCCATCCTTTTCATAGTTAGCTCGTTTCTTATGACTGTGTTGGCGTTCGCTGCGTGAGTACAAGTACAAAGATAGGGCACCTCCAGCACACTAGTCAGGGAAACAGTGGTGTTTAGGCCATTGTTGTCTGAGTTTTTGACTCTATAGGATTCATAATCTGACTGGGGTCAACTCAGAACAGGTTGGCCTGCCCTTCAGTTACCATATTCAAAGTTATATCTGACTTTGCCTCCTTTACATATTACACTTATAGAAGTACCCTCCCTGTGTTTTTATAGTGTTTCATTATTTATGAGGGTCTCATGTCAGCCCAGCATGCAGTGTTTAGCAGTTCTGTTAAGTTTTGTCTTCTAGACCGATAATGATGAATTGCGCTCAAGTATTTCCTACTTGAAATATTTGTGTATTGCACTCTTGGTGAATCTGCACTGTATTTGATTTTTGGTGTAAGTAATATATGTAACTAAACAAATATTGAAAGGTAATAGTTTTGCTTAACAGCCATTTACAAAAAAGGGTCTTAGCCCCTTTATCACAATCATTGTCATTTAAAACAGTGGTCTCCAAAGCAGGATGTATGAACATGTGCCAGATATACACAAGATGCTCCACAAAGATAAGGAAAAAAAGTAATGTGTGTACCACACACATTTTTGTCTTAACAGTTTGTATTGTTATATGTTTTATAATGCACATACTTTACAAATACATGCATATTATTATAATTTAAACAATATGTATATAACATATAAATAAAGTAACCATATATATAAATTTGGGGTGCACATTCAGAATTCGATGACTGGTAGAGTATACAGTTTAAAAAGTTTCCGGATAACAGTCTAAAACATTTCTTCTGGAATAGTTTTGGCTGATGAGGACTACCCAGTAAATGCTGCTGAACTGACTGCAATGTTTTTATATGGCTAAGTTTCATAGTACATCAGTGTTTAAGATAATCTAACTTGAACATATGAATCCAAATAAAGTGCCCTTCAAAATAGTCACCATCAAAGGCTATACCTAAATATCCATGTTGCTTCCATTGTGTCAGACCAGTGGTGGAAGTCATCTTTTGGAATTACCTTTAGATTTTTGGAGTATTTCCTCACTTCACACCTTCATCCTTTTGTGGTGGTTTTGATTGTTAGAAATAGTAAGATCATTTGAACCCAAAGTGATAAATAAGGAGCAGGTCAAAATGTCATTATATATATGTGTGTGTATGTACATTTTTTTTCTTTTTGGCAAAAATTAAGTTGTACCCCTCCCAGTACTGAGCATAGACTTCCCTTTGGGATAAGAAGGGGAGCCAGTAAAGAGGTGGCGGGGGGTGAACCATAAAAAAACCCTGAATAACAAGCCGCCTTTCTTGAGTGACTCAAACTGGTTCCAAGAGCAATTGTAATAGCAAAGTTCTCATGCTTTCCTCAGCAGTGGTGCATCACTGAAAGAAACCTCTCACTTCCCCAGATGGCCACCTGGACATACAGCATCAATTTCACATACAAGTTCCATTCTCTTAAAGTATTGTCAGACAGCTTTGTTGCAATACAAAAGAGACATTTTCAATGCTTAAAATTGCAGAGCTTATCGAAAGATGGGTGCAACGTGAAGGGCAGGAGGGAACTAATGTTATTTAGTTGCAACAGTTGAAAGAGAGAGGATTTTCTCCCCATCTCTAAATGAGGAAACATACTCAGGAAATAAAACATGTGCAGAGTCATCCAGCTAGTCAGTGGCAGAGATGAGTCGTGGGGCCCTGGACTATTTGATCCCAAAACCCATCTCATTTCTGCTACAGCACATCACACACCATAGACCTATGTGCCATGAACACAATATGTGACATATCCTAAAAAGAGTAAAGACAATCAGTGAGGAACCGTGTAGGCAGTTATGGGAGTTCCCTTTAGGTTGAAATAATTTGAACTATCTTCTCTCAGACGATTGGGATACTTTTCCATCAAGAGGTAAAACTTAAGAAATGTTCAGTGAAATGGATTGTGGCAGATAGATATCTACTGCCTCATGGCAGTATAGCATGGGAAAAGAATCAGGGGCACTGTTGAAAGTTTGGGGAAGATAAACTTGCATTTATAGAACACCTTACTGTGTGGTGGATGGAGCCTGTGTTCAGCATTTCACAAGCACTAGGGATGATGGTTAAGAGCAAGGACCTTTGAGTTAGATAAACTTCACTTTGAAAACCCAGCGCTGATGCTTGCAGCTCTGTGACCTCAGGCAAAGTCCTTCATCACTCGGCCTCAATTTCTGTAAAATGGGAATAGTACTACCTATAGTGAATAAGAATGAAAGAGAGAACATGTTTGAAAGGCTTCGCAGAACAGTTGGCAGGAATCAACTTTCAAAAAACCTGTTATTGGTCACTTTCACAAATGTTATCCCACTTGATTCTCTTAATTACTCTGCTGTAACTTGTTGTGATCCAAGTTTAATGGATGAAGAATCCCAGGGTTTTGAGGGGCTAAGAAACATGACCAAGGTCACAAAATGCTAAATGCTGGTACATTTGGTCAGTCTCATAACAAGTCCTTGTACTTTATATGATTCTAACAGGCAGGGAGCCTGTTGGAATTCACCACATTGAATAATGTTTCACTTGGGCAATTTAAGGAAATTAAAGTAAAAATTTGTTTAGGCTCTATTTTTTTCTAATCAGAATGAAAACACCCTTCTTGAAGTCCATGATAAACAACTTAGATGACTTTATTTATTGAATTATTATTTACATTTTTCTAAAAGTCATTTGATCGTTGGCATGTTCCTTAATGTCCAAAAGGAAGTTGGCATTGTCTTCTCGCCAGTAAGGCATTACTATCTTGGCATATTGGGAAGTAGCTAAATAAGGGATGTTATGCCAGGCCCATCTTTTGAAGCTGGAGGCCACACGCAGCTCAGAGGTCATCCAGAGGGGACCAAGAGGGCATTGGGCAGCTTCCGCTTGCCCACAAACCACAGGTAAAAATGGTAAAACTAGAGCTCTGTAGACAGACTATATTCATCTAGCAAATATTTACTTAATGCAAGACAGACCAGCTTCCTGCTCTCATGGAGCTTACAGGCAAACAAAATCAGAGCAGATAGCCATAACCCCTGTGAAGACAATGAAACTGTGTCATGTAAAGCATCACTGGGGTCTGACCATGGAGGTGACGTTGATACTGAGACCTGGATTTCAAGAAGGAGCTAGCTGTGTTGATGTGGAGGAAGGGGAGAGCATGGAGGAGTGTTCTGGGCAGAGGGCACAGGAGGGCTCTGGAACAGGAACAGTCTGCTAGTGTTCCAGGAATATAAAGGAGTAGTGTGGCTGGAAGGTTGTAAACAAGAGAGAGAATAACTCAGGGTAAGAACAGAGTGGTGAGCAGGCGGCCGCATCAGCTAGGGTATCTCCCATAAGGTACTTGGGGTTTATTCTAGGCGCAGTGTGTTGGAGGGTTTTTGGCTGAGAGAGGACATGATGGTTTATAATTGGCTGCTCTGTGGAGACTCGCAGGCTACTATGCAGTCAATAAGAAAATGGTAGTGATTTAGACTGGAACAGCTTTTCTTGAACTTCCATGTGAGTCACCATGACCCGAGGGGCTTGTTAAACACAGATGGCTGCGTCCCACCCCCAGAGTTTCAGATTCTGTAGGTCTGAGTGGGACCTGAGATTTTGCATTCGGAATAAACCCCCAATAAAGCTGATAAACCATGCTTTAAGAACCACTAGAATAGGGTATTTCCCCAACATTTTTTCTTGAAAAAGTGAGTTCTGTGACATGTTAATTGGTAGTCTTTGTGGAAAGGCCCATGGCCACAAAGACGGTAGTGACTACTTGCATTTTATGGCCATCCAGTGCACATTATCATGTTAGAGGTCTTGAGATGTTTCACAGTTGAGAATCCTTTGTAACCATGTTTAATTCCTCAGTTCCCTAGTGTCTTCAGTAATGACCTTGAGAACTGCCTGAAGTGAGGTCATTCTGGTGACTAGTTGACAATTCAGAAGGACTTTGCTTTGCTAATAACAGAAGTGACCAGGGCCATTCTATCTGGAGAGGAAAGAACGACCCTTATACTACTTAAAGGTTGTATCAGCTTGCGATTGTTAATGTCTTCAGTCCTTTTCATTTGTTGGATGAATCTTGTTTCCACAACATGCATTTTTAGAGCACATTTTTGTATAACATAGTGATTTTTCAGTTTTTTCCTTCTCACCCGAGAATCCTTTGTGCACATTTACTGCGTCACACCG